TAAATATGTAAAGATAAATAAGGCAGCCGCTTGGTGACACCTTTTCCTACTGCTACCACCACCCACCATGTATGTCACATGAGAGTGCACACACGTCAGGGATTTTCCGTAACACAAAACGCATTTGAACTTTGTACTTAAAGCGTGCAGACTTGGTTTTGTAATAATTGCGGCGGCATGCTGGTGTAATTTCTTTAGATTGCCCCTTGTTGCTAGATCAAATACAGTTTTAGCTGCTGGTGATATACAATTGAACCAGTATCGCACTTAAGGAAGAACATATTGTTTCTCTAATGGATGTCTTCGCATGAGCAACACAAGTCCGTCTGGGAGTCCACAACTGTTTTATTCAGTCTGCACTTCTAAGCGTAGGCCAGAACTTCCCTTAGCTCTGGCTCAGGTCTAATATAACCCAAATTTCATGGCCTATTGCTGCACACTGCGGGGTTGGTCATTGCTGGTCCTTTGCCTCGTTCCCCTCGTATCTGGTCAGGGTTTTGTCATCTTCATTTGCTTCCCAAATCTTAATCGTCAGTAGGGGCCGAATCATCACGATTGGATTTCGGGAATTCATGGCCAAAATGTAATTTGCCCGGTGTTCCGCTGGTCAAGGGTTATTGTTCAATCCCTGACCAGTCCTATTTTGTTGACCATTAGTGAGGGGCGGGCTCTTCTTCGTCAGCAGCCTTCCTACCCGCCGTCCCCTGTGGGTATTGTAAAGACAACGGGAACTCACTGATCATGTACTTAATTAGTTGGGCCCGCTGGTCTGCTTTTAACTCTATTCTTACACTCGATACAACATTTAAACTTTGTAATTAAAATGTGTATACGTGCAGACAATGCCGATGCGACGTAAAACTTACGTTACAATGTGTGTCATTGTTCACAACGAGGCAGGCCTAGACTTCTCAACACCTGAGCGTCACGAATTGTGTGATTTCATGCCATATCATTTGTCAAGGGACAAATGCGGATTTTCGGCTCGCACTCATGTCTGTCCAGTAACTTGAAACCGTCCTTTGTAATAGGGTCTGCAATTACGTCGCGGCACTTCGCTAGAACTTAGTATTTCCAGTGACAAACAACGTACACTTGGTCCGGTCTAGTAAAGTCATATTTGGCGGTCGCGCAACTGGTTCTTGTATACTTAGAAGAAGAAGAAAAGAATTTATTTTGGACTTGAACAAATGTGTTCCTCGTCCCAAAATGCACGGTATACAGGCCTGTAAAATCTGTTATTTTAGTATCCATAAGTTTATTATTTTACATGCAAATGTTTGTGAAAAAAAGTGTTTTTGTTATCATTTTTTTTTATATTATTTGCAACATGACCTAGTGTCAATGTCAACATACTTTTGTCATATATTTAAACTGATTGTACTCCATAAGCAGTTATCACCTCTGTCCAAATCAAAATATTAACTTCATATTGCCAAAACACAAACGTGTATTTCTGCTATTAGATATTAAGTCATGAACTCATATACCGCCCCTTGATTGTGATAAGTATTTAAATGTTTTCTTCTTCGGATATTTGTTTATGATATATCTAGGGTGGTGGGTAACCTAATGGTTAAAGCGGCCGCTCGTCACGCTGAAGACCTGGGTTTGCAAACTGCAAAGTAAAGTCTCCAGTAGATAATGAACTCAGTGTTAGAAATAATGAAATCATTGCTAGGTATGCTAATCTCTGTCAACAAACAAGGTCACCAAGATCCTACAGATCTAACTTTACAACCGGTCTGATAATGGTCACGTTTTTGGATATCGCATCCAAGTAGCGGGTTCACTGTTGTCTGACTTGCTGTATCCTTTAGCCGGCGTTGGGTGTGACAACTCAACTGGTGAAGCAGCTCGTTCACTCACTACAGTGGGCTCATTTACGGTGGGAGATTCCAAAATCTGCACTGATGGGGATGTAACAGACTCTTTCGGTTCAACTTGACACCGGGTAACTCCCTACAGAGGATGATCGACATGTACATTCTCCACAGCGTACCAGGTAAGCAAGTGGTCCTAGTCCTAGTAGATCACTACTCCTGGAACCCATTTGGTTTTTTCAGGTCTTACACAGTGAACTGGAACAAACTGATTGACCTGAAATTCTCTACTTTGTTGCTGTGCCACCTGTGTGTCCTTTTTTTTACACTCTGTCCAGTGAGGTTTCAACAATGACAGACGTGTTCTTGGTTTCCTCTTTAGGAGGTTTCAACAAGTGTGCACTCTTGGTCGTGGTGTGCGGAGTGTTTCCTGTAACAGGAAGAACTCCAGTCTATGTTTGAAAAGCAATTGCTTCACAATCTGAACAGAGAGTTGCTCCTGCCACACATTTGAAGCTGGGTGATAAGCAGGGACTCTCGTACGTTTCACGCCGTTCTGGTGCAGAAAATCTGAACACTCAGTTGCAATAAAATGCGGGCCGTTGTCCGAGACAATTTCCTCTTGGGAACCCACATGCTGCAAAGGTGTACACAGCACATCAATAGTTTGCTGTGCAGAAGTTGATGATGCCATGTGTTAAACTTCTATCCATTCACTGTGGGAATCGTCTACAACAAGATAGTGCTGTCCTTCTTTCTCTGCAAAACTCTATATGGAACCTTTACCACACTCGAGTAGGCCAACGCCAAGCATGCAGTGGGGCTACAGGAGCTTGATTCGTTTGGCTCAGAGAAGTAGTACAGTTTCTAAGCAGTCTTTCAGTGTCTGAATCTAGACAAGGCCACCACAGATAGCCTCTTGCGTAAGTCTTAGTGTGCGACATTCCCAAGTGTTCAGCATGTAACTCAGACAACAGTGTCTCCCGTAGTAAAGGCGGAATCACCACCCTATTCCCCACAAGATACAGCTACTGTCAACTGTCAGCTCATCTCTTCGACTAAAGAATGGCTTAATTTTTTTTCATCCTGATTGGTGAGAGGCCAACCTGAACAAACAAAATCCAGAACTCTTAACATTACTGGATCCTTCCTTGTAGCTTCTGCTACATCTAATGCACTAACTGGCAAATCCTCAAACACTTAGAACTGATACATATCTGATTCCAGTGACTGCTTATCATCTAGGGATGGCAGTCGACACATGGTATCATCATTGGAATTCTCCTCCGATCTTCTGTAATGAATGGTATACTGATAGGCAGAAAGCAACAAGGCCCATCGTTGCATTCTTGCAGCTGCCATAGCCAGAACGCCTGTTTGTGGACGTATTATTGTGGTGAGGGACTTGTGATCAGTCACCAGAGTAGCAGTCCTCTCAAACAGATACTTGTGGAACTTCATAATTTCAAAGATTATAGCCAATGCGTCTCGTTCAATTTGTGAATAATTCCTTTCACTTGCTGTCAAAGTCTTTGAAGCAAAATGAAATCGGACGATGTGTTCCATCCTACGTGAGACAGAATTGCACCTGCTACACAAGGTGAAGCATCACAGTCTAAGCGGACAGGTTTCTGAAGATCATAATGTGCCCACAATCTGCCAGTCATCAGCTGTTTCTTGCAGGCTTCAAATGCCAACTGACATGTGTTCGAACATAGCCTTGGCTTTTCTTCCTTCAGTAACTTGTACAGAGGTGCCAGTTTTGTTGAAACGTTTTCCAAGAAACTACCATATAGTTAACTAGACCTAACCATGATCTGAGTTCGTTAACATTACTTGGAGGAGGGGCATCCTTGATGGCCGAGACCTTATTTTCAGTTGGGTGGATGTCATCCTTATCCAACTTGAATCACAGGTAAGTAACACTAGGCACCTTGAATTCACATTTTGACCTCTTGAGTTAAAAATCATAGCTTTAAAGGCGAGTCATGACTTCATCTAGAATACGATCATGGTCAGCCTCATCAGTGACACGTATCAGGATATCGTCCAGGTAACACATCACACCCTCAGTACCCTGTAAAATTTGGTCTTTTGAAAATGGCACGGGTGCAGTGGCAGCTCTATACATCAGTCTCTTGAATTTGTACAAACCACGGGCTGTATTGATAGTAAGGAATACCTGTGCATCAGGGTCTAACTACAGCTGTTGGTAAGCATGTAAAGGTCCAATTTTGTGAACACCGTGCCACCTGCCCAACCAATGCCACCTGCCAGACAGCTAACAGATCACTGACATTTGGTAAAGGATATACCTCTTCTTCCAGTTGAGGAATAACAAGAATCTTGTAGTCACCACAAATCTTAAATGCATTATCGCGGCCCACTTCCTTGTAGAAATGAGTCTTTCACCGCATATGGTAAGTTCCTTGCTTTTGCTACAGCCAGCTTTGCATTTTCCTTAAGGCGTACATAAGCCTTAAACAACTTTATTGGTGATCCAGTCTGTTTTGACTTTGTCAGCACTTTGAAGAGGCGGGTTATTGAATCACTTTCGTGTGAAGCGCAACAGCTCTTCAAGGTTAGGAGAGAACATTTATGTGAGAAGAACAGTGAGTTGCTAAAAAAATATGACAGAGTGAAATAACAGTATATTTCTGAACCATCACAAGTGATGGTTTAATTTGACTTAAATGTGGAACTAGGCAAACAAACACAAAATAAATATTTCATGGTAAAACATCCATTTGGCATTAACTTATTTTGGTGGCTCATGTTTAAAGACGTATTTCGTGTTAAATCATATATTTATTTAAAAGATTATGATGAAAGTGTTAACCGATATCTAAACTGATAAACATTTCAACTTATCGAACATGTGTAAAAGGAAAGGTTGTCGCAATTATTAATCATGATTGAGAGATTCAGTAAAGTGACTTGTTGATATTACATAATTTACTACTTTAGTAATTTAAATGAGATTGTTGATAAAGTAAGCGAAATTAGTCTGTTTTAGCATAGAGACGCGCTGACATATATATGTGCATACGTGTGCATGTATATCACAGTAGCATGGTGGTATAAATGCTGTCTGTTTGGTAACCTAATATTGGGCACCGAGTGTTTCAGTGCCACATCATTCCAGTCTAAAATATGCGTAGATTAAACGTGACTTACCTGTAAGTAGAAGGTTGATCTAGATTATATTAATATAGAATCGTCAAGAGTAAGAGGGATCACAGGAGATAACGTTGAGTCAGTGATGTCGTTGAGCAAAACAACTTTTACTGAGATTGAACGTAGCGAGTAGAAGGAGTCACGTGAGAGAGAACTGATGAGTAATGTTTCGAAGTGCTTGAAAGCCTGAATACAATGGGTGGGTGTTTGCCGTGATTCAACCAATCACCACATTGATCGTGATCACGTGAGATGTTTAATGTACAGGGTTTCAAACTATAAGAAAAACACGCAGTTTATACGACAAGGTTTTAATTCTGAAAGACGTAAACATACTCACAGGGATCAGAGGACAATTCTGACATCATTTACATTCATGACAAGATCTTAAGACTGAGCATTCGAGAAACAGGTACCTGCCTAACTGTTACTTTCCAGCAAAATTGCAAATAAATTTATCAGTAACAGACTTGTTATATACGTTCATAAGCTGCTGTGGGGAGTATTGCGCAGTGGTTTTGTTTGGTTTCATTTCTCGATACGACACGCTCGATTGCTCCGTTATGTATGACAAACACAGCCCATTGTACACAAGCACCCTTTCACCAAGCGGCATAGTGTCTTTTGTCACGGGCTTAGGCGACATGTAGCAGCCAGTTAACAACTGATATGTAGACATAAATGAACTCATGTCTCTCTGTGGAAAAAAGCGTGTGGTTTTCAGTTATAAAGTCATTCTCCCTTGCACAGCACTTACCGCCCTTATCTGAACATCCACACATCTTAAAGGTCACATGCAACGTAAAACACAACTTTGCAGATTCTGATACCTTTCGGTATGGACTTACCGAAACAAATCATCAAAATGCAAATTCAACTTATAAAGTTGAAAATAACGCGATGAAAAAACGCGCGAAATCGTAGTTCAAACGATTCACTAATTTTTCCCCACTCCCTCCCCCTCCCTCCCTCCCTCCCTCCTCCCTCCTCACTCACTCCCACTCACTCACTCACTCACTCACTCCCATCCCCCCCTCACCCACTCACCCCTCACCCCCTCCCTCCCTCCCTCACTCCCTCACTCCCACCCCCCTCCCCCCTCACTCACTCACTCCACTCACTCACTCACTCACATCATTACCTGTTGGCAGGACACAGTTGTGCTCGTTGCCCGTGTTAGTAAAACGTGATCGTACCCTGCCAAACCGATGGTACCTATCACAAACACATGGAATGGCAGGTCAATTACTCAGAATTAGTTTACCTATCGAAAATATATTGCCATAGAAACAGAATTGAAAACGGTGGTTTATGAAAAAATTCAATCTATATATTTGATGGAACGACTTGAGTGAACAACACATTTTATATCTCATTAAATTTGAATAAAATACCCCCAGAATACAAGGAACAAATCGATACTGTTTAACAGTTGTTGTTTTTAGAATAACTGATACTATATTTATCTAGCCATCGTCTGTCATTGAATCTGTGAGAGAGATGTTGCTGCAGCAGTTGTTCAACGTTGTTCTCTTCCCGTGGCCTTCATTTGCTGCACATTGTATTGATGGCCGCTGTGAGGAGTTTATGCATTGCCACCTGGAAACTGGGGTTTATACCTGTGTCCTAACAAGAGGTTTGTTTATTTGTTTTTTTGTTGTTTGTTTTGTTGTTTGTTTGTTTGTTTTGTTTGTTGTTTAAATCAGCAATGCTCCAGCCGTATGATTACTAAATTTCTTAAGTTTAGTTTTACGTTGCTTTCAGCAATATTCCAGCTAAATGGCGGCTTTCTGTAAATAATCGAGTTTCTGAACCAGACATTCCAGTGAAAATTTCAACCAAATGTCTGACACAATATGCAAAGAAAGGAGTTACACTATTATGTATGTTGTATTTTGCTTATTTGTTTGTTGTTTAAAGCCGCAGACTCAAGCAGATCTCACTCATACTGCAATAAACAGTGTCAGATATATAACGAAACATACCACTTAAGCGATAAAAGTTCCATGCTTATTGGATAGAGCGATGTACAGGGTCTGTAATTCTTCCTGTAACAAGAAGGTTATATAATTCAAGAATTTCGACAAAAAGTAGATGTCTGATTGATTGATGTTGGATTGCCTGGAGACAGGAGAAAGAGTCTGACAAGATATGAAATTGTTTGTTTTGCTTGTTTACTGATATATTCCTGTGTTTTTAATATGATTTTTTGGATTCGGATGGACAAAATGGGAGTTATCTGGTAGCAATCTGGTAATGACATAGTCCTAAATCCCCACGACAGTGGCGCTGTCAATTCTCTTGGATTAATCTTTAAACATTATTAGCTGTGCTTCTTAAGTGGTTATACTCTTCCTGATCCATGCCAGCTGAAACACGATGTATAGATGTAGTTTTTCAAGTACTATTTAATACTTTTATTTGAGTTCGAGTTCGGGTTATTTGAAAGGTATATTTAAAACTGATGAAGTAAAAATGTAATCATCTAGAATTGATGGAAAGTTAGTGAAATGTGAAAACGTTTTGTTATGTTTTAAGATATTTTATAGAGAGAATTGAAATTGAACGCGTTTAATGGCTCTAGGTTGGTTTTTGTGAAATAAAACGTATACAATAAAAGTTCTAAATATAGAACATGATCAATACCGGAATGGAAGTCATCAAAGTGAATCCTAAGACCATCCATTTACTTGTTTGATCGTATCTATAGCCAAGGAGATGTTGCTTCATCAACTGTTCCACATTTTCCTCTGCTCCAACGTGCCGATTCCTTCATTTGTACAACACTGCGATGATGGCAAATGCAGGGAAATCCTTCAGTGTAACAAGCAGTTGAATCATATGGGGATTGGAATGTGCAGCTGTCATATTACAAAAGGTAAAGTTTTTGACATACAGGACTGACTGATTCCGAGACTGAATTAGCTTCAGTCTGAAGTTTACTTATTCCAACCAAATATATTAGAAATTAGCTGTCTGTGTTGATGTTAAAGGGCAACTGGAAGCCATTAGCAGTTAATTAGCATTGATTGATCATTACATTGACAGCTCGACGCCGGGAGTTAAATTACAGGCAATGGACAAATTGTGAGTGAGCATGGTTTTACGCCGCTCTTAACAATATTCCAGCAATATCACGGGTGGGGGTGGTTATTCAACAATGGAAAAGAACTAACGGGAGGTAACGGGTAATAGTGCCAACAGTTAACATCCATAAAACTCTCTTTGGTATGTGAATCACTTCCAAATGCCTTTCAAAGACCTAAACCTAACATATTTTACTACTCCAATCTTACCAATGGTGACAATTGAAAATGTGATGATATCTCTTATCAAAGTTCTCAAATCACCATGAACCCCTCTGTTTGAAACTGTTAATATGAAGACAATCATATATCATTATGATCTAATCAATAATACAAAATATAGTTACAAATCGATAACCGCCTGTAGCACCAAATCTTGTGCAATTAGTGATGTACAACCATTTTTGTGTGTGTTTAGTTTTTGTTCAACGCTGCACGCAGCGTTGTTTCCACCTGCATGACGGCGGTCTGTTGATAGTCCAGTCTATACCAGCATCTTCAGCTTCGATCTACGAATTTCGGGATACGATGGCATAAGTCAACCAAGTCAGCGATCCTGACCACCCGATCCTGAACAGTCGCCTCTTACAACACGCAGAGGCGGCTGGGAAACATAGTTGTTAAAGAGTTCGCTCGTTACGTCTAAGACCCGGGTTCGATTCTTCACATGAGTACAATGTGTGAAACCCATTTCTGGCGTCCACGTCCGTTATGTTGTTGGAATATTGCTAAAAGCGGCGTAAAACCCAACTCACTCACTCACCCACCCTTTCTCAGTCTCCATCTTTGTTGTCTGATCCAAATTGTTGTACTTACATGTACACATATATGCACTCTGCCTCATGACATTCATTCACCATGATGAAGAAGTAAGTATATTCTCCGAACCGTTGTGTTCCTCATAATAAAGAAGTTAACATCCATAAAACTCCCTCCCTTATGTTAAGTTTAATTGTTTTTTCTTCGAGTCACAAGTGTGATATTCCAATATTGTAGGAACCGAAGAAACTGGGATGCTAAAATGTCCAACGGCTCGTTCCGCCTTTTGTAATCTACGTTACCAAACTGTAATTTACGTTACCTTACAAACTAATTCATTGGACGTAATAATCGGCCTCAAATAGATTGATTTTACAACAACTTACCATATATGAAAGTCATTATTGGTACTTGATTAGCATTAAATAAAATATTCATAACATCTACTGGAACATGTGATAGATATGAAGGTATTACTTCATTCATTGCAATCTTCGTTACTATACTTTGAGGAGCGAGTACAAAACTGAGGAGAAAGATATATGTTGCAGTTTAGGGTCAATATCAATATGTCTAAATAAAGTCAAGATATTAACAGAATTCATACAAGCTTCACGAAATACGATTTTGTCAATCTCTTTGAAATGATGGCTAACGACAACCAAATATGGTGATCATTTCCAAATGCTTCTACCGAAGAAATTCTCAACAGTAGAACAATTGTTTAAAATATCGTGAAACTGTATCCCTATAATGAAGTAAATTAACAAGCAATCTTACTTGTTTCATTGGGAATTTCCCGAATAAAGATGAAGTTTCCTCCAAATTTGAATTTCGTGAAATGTCGATGAAGTGCTGCGATCATGTGACAGCAACCGGTGGCAACTGTTGTAGGTTATCAAATTATTTGCCTGGGTTCTCTGACTATGCTACGAAGCGAAATCTTCTATTTCCAGTAATATTCTGTAAGATTCCATATCAGGTGGTAACGTAGATTTCATAACGTAGATTTCTTTTTCTACCATGATCTTGAGTGGAAGCATATTGCACTCCCTTTTCGGTTTTAATACACTTGAAAACACAAAGCATTCATTCTAATCACTTTTATAGGTAGCTGTTAATGTTTCCGTACAGTAATGGCAACGTAGCTTTCATGCTTAACACAAACTTATTTTTTATAGACCAGGTTCGTCTTTGTGTACGGTTTTATATGGTTCGATATGTTTCAAGATGACATTTTTCGACATATAATATATCCAGTAAAACTTGCGAGCTTTCAAAACAAATGTTTGTCAATATAAAGGCATATTACACTGCTTTTTA